TTTGAGAAGAAAAGAAAACTTTGTATTCTCCCTAAACCTGGTTTTGTTGTGGATTTCAGAGGCCATTGAGGAATTTACCAGAAGAAAATGATAAAGAAATCCCATCTAAACTGTAGCAGTTTTAACTTTGTTTCTTTTTTTTTTGTTGTAAAAAGCCAAGTTGAATGGCTCAACCATGGGTCAGAGCTAAGATGGGAAAGTATGTCAGTGGATATTATACTAAAAGGAAATAACCTACAATGACTTTTGTTGTGACCTGTTGAAATTTATGATCAAACATTAACAATAAATTGGCCCTCGTGGACATTCGATTAAAGGGATAGTTCACCCAAACATTACTCACCCTCATGTCGTTCCAAACCCATAAGACCTTCGTTCATCTTCGGAACACAAATTAAGATATTTTTTATGAATTCTGAGAGCTCTCTGACCCTCCCATAGACAGCAAGGGCCCTTACATGATCAAGGACCAGAGACGTAGCAAGGAGATCGGTAAAATAATCCATGTGACATCAGGGGTTCAACCGTAATTTTATGAAGCTAGGAGAATACTTTTTGTGCACAAAAGAAAAATGGCATCCGTGTGGCACAGCTGACACAGAACAGCATACACTGTTTATGTTCAGTGGATAGTCTCCAAAATGGCGCCAGGGTGACGTGGAGGAGACGAATTGTTGAATAAAGTCGTAATTTCTAAAAGTATTCTCCTAGCTTCATAAAATTACGGTTGAACCCCTGATGTCACATGGATTATTTTACCGATCTCCTTGCTACGTCTCTGGTCCTTGATCATGTAAGGGTCCTTGCTGTCTATGGGAGGGTCAGAGAGCTTGCATCAAAAATATCTTAATTTGTGTTCCGAAGATGAACGGAGGTCTTATGGGTTTGGAACATGAGGGTGAGTAATTAATGACATCATTTTCATTTTTGGGTGAACTAACCCTTTAAGTCCACAGTGTAAACACGGTTCTTTTCCACCACTATGTAATAGATCTGTGTAGCTAATGTGTCCCGGGCCGCACCTCTGTGCCAGTGCCATAGGAGACGGAGAGCTCTTGGCACAGAGAGAGACAACAAAACACACTCCTATTACAATGAGACTATGTAGCTTGACCTTCCTTTATGTGCAATAAAAGAGTGAAATGATGGTCAGTCTTATCAAATCATCTGCTAGTCTGGTGTGTTACCATCACTTGCATTATCAAACGCACAAAAAGAGGGCGTCATCATATGAGATCCTACACAGAGCGAGATTCTAATACATGCTTTCCGGTTTTCACAAACGTAGGCTTATATTCCCAGGCTAGTTACAATAAAAGTGATGTTGTGTTGGTTCTTGTCTATGATCTTACCAAGCATGTGGTATTCCTGAGGACGACATTGAGCTCTCACGTTCCTGAGAGAACTATGCATGTTATTACTCTTCACACACCAACGATGACAGACATTTTCTATTAGGCCATAATTAAGGTTTAACTAAATATAGTCCTGCACTGACATACTATGTGACAGGAAGTCAGCTCTTCTTTCTGATTTGTAAAGAAGGAAAGAAGGCACCTCTGCTTGTTTGGATAGAAGGGTACCTGGTAGTTAAGAGGACGTCTGTAAAGATAGATAAGTCTGGCATGTGATGCCACGCAAATGTCTCCAATAGACCACAAATATTTCTTTAGGATGCACTTGAACTCAGGTGACTATTTCAATCCACCTTTGAGGAAGTGATTTACAAGCATTGAAGCATCACTAAAACCTGTTTAGGTTGCTAAAACTGTAGGTTTATTTAAAGTAATAGTTCACCCAAATATGAAAATTCTGTTGTCATTTATTCTCCCTTGTGTCATTCCTTATTTTATTTTATTTATTTATTTATTATTTTGTGGGGTCCAAAACAACTCTGAACCCCATTGACTTTCATTGTATTAACAACAACAACAACAAAAAATCTTTAAAAATATTACTTTTGTGTTCCACAGAAAAGAAAATGTCATACAGAGTATAGTGGTGAGTAAATGATGATATATTTTCATTTTTTGAGTGAACTGTCCCTTTAAGGGAGTTTTTTGGGTGCAGTTAAAAGTTTCTTATAACTGACTGAACTTCACGTGACCTCTTCACATTAAAATATTACACTTTGAATCATTATATTAGTGACAACTTGACAAATGAGTACCAAGTAAATCATGCCACTTCAGGTTAACATGGTTCAGTTGTCATGCGTCTTCACAAAGCAATGTCAAATACCTTTTGCATACTTACAGATTGCCAAAAACCTCTTCCTCCTACACTTTATTTCCTTAAATAAAGTTGTGTTGTAAGGTTGGACACACTATAAAGTTTGAAATGAAGACCAGCTATATTAAAGTTAAACAAACATTTAAAAGTGCCAGCTCAGAATCATATAGTAATAATCTGCACAAGAACAATGGCTTCTCTGTAAAATCAAATGCAAACAGTTAGCACAGAATTTGCCTGCAATGAATCAATGGTGCAGGAGTGTTTGACGGGGAGAGGCTCAATCAACGCAAACAAGGCATTCTTTTGGCAGGTACAAAGGTAAACAGACGACTTGCAATAGCATGGCTAGATTTTTGTACCAGATTTCTGTAAGTTTGTTGAGCCACCACTGCAGTGCAAACTTTTGTTTTGACAGTCTACTTCCTGTGACACAAATAACTTTCTCAATTTCAAGAGAAATTTAAGCATGCAAACAACATGCAGCCTGTTGAGTGAATAAACAGGAAAGAAATGATTTGATTACTTAAGTCCAGGTTTGTTATTCTGATTAATTGAAGTTGTTTTGACGGATGAATGAATGGTATAATGAAACTCTCAGGGTTTTTCTCCTTACCAGACATTTCACATATGAAAATTTTGATCTATACAGTACTATAACTTTTTGTATATGTAAAACAAATCCTGTTTATCAGGTTTTGTCTATTCAAAAATACAGTTTGTTCCTTAATGGTCTGTAGTGTCAGTTAGCTAACTGTCTTGTGGAGCAGTTAACTATAGATTGTATGAAACTGATTTTGGCACACCCTCAGATGACTTAGTGCAGGTCGTTTTATGTGAGACTAATTGAGAGTATTGGCACTGGTAGAGATGCTTAATTACAACATTTGATGGTCAGATTATTGTAGCTTCCAGTGATTGTCAGGTTTCATCAGTGGTCACACACCCTCTTCATTCAGAACCTGCTGTGTGTTAAACTCATGTCTTTTTTATTTTATATTATATATATAATATTTTTATATTATATTATATTATATTATATTTATTGTCCCTCAATATCAAAGGTTAATTTCAGACATTAGCCATAAATTAAGTCAAGAAAAAGAGAAATTTGCTTGTAGATTCTGAGGTTTGTTGAGTTCTTTTGAGATACTATGCTGACAGAATTTTTTTAGCTGTGTATTTGTTTACTTGTCAATATGAATAATTTGTCTTTTTGCTATATATTTTTCAAATTTTTTCTGCTGTTTGTTACTTAACTGACTACAGAATGTATTGTCCACAATCAACTCTAAATCATTCTGTATTGCCCCCATGTGGTAAAGTTCTGAACTACACTCTTAAAAATAAAGGTGCTTCACGATGCCATAGAAGAACCTTTTTGTCTAAATGGTTCCATAAAGAACCTTTAACAGCTGAAGAACCTTTCTGTTTCACAAAAGGTTCTTTGTGGCGAAAGAAGGTTCTTCAGATTATAAAAAGGTAAGAAAGAGATGGTTCTTTAAAGAACCTTTGACTGAATGGTTCTTTGTGGAACCAAAAATGGTTCTTCTATGGCATCGCTTGAAGAACCTTTTGAAGCACCTTTATTTTTAAGAGTGTACAGTGTTTTGGATAAGCGTGCGCGTGTGTAAACTATTGTGTTACTTATTTAATGTAGCACATTCACACAAAGGTTTTACATTGTCAGGTGTCTACTGTATGTGCTTCATACAGCTAATGTTTTGTATTTGTAACAACACAACAAAGCCACATTTCTACTAACTGCCATTTCTTTCAGGATATTAATACACATTATGACCACTCCATTATAATAAACCTGACCACATCTAGCCCATATCTAACCTGCTCTTAAAGTTGACCTTTATATTTTATCTAGTCATCCTTATGTAGTCTTTTCTCCTCTGTTCCCAATACCCCCCATCTTTGCGGACCCCTGAGTGAGTTTCCTCCAATATGTGGATGAGCCACATTTAGTAGGTATTTCAGAGCACCTCTTTTTGCTCCTGTAACTGCATGAAAAGTGACAAGATCAGACTCACTTGCTTACGTTCCTAACATGAGCTGACAGTAATGATTATGTTGACAAAAGTAAATAAGTATCTTCAAACTTCTATATGTCATAGTCTAAAATGAATGCCAATCGTTTATATCAAATAATTAAACTGGACTAAATTACTTTTTGAAAGACTTCAGTCACCTGCTCAACGTTTAATTACTATAATTGTGAGTCTGATCTGCATGTGCAAGCCACACTTTTCTCCAATGTTGTGCTGCGTATTAAATGTCTGACCGATTTTTGTTTGCATGCACTGCAACTTCAGTTCATCCAAAAATGAAAGTTAGCTGAAAATTTACTCAAGCTCAGGCCATCCAAGATGTAACTAGTTGTTTCTTAATTTAATCAAATTCTTTAAATCTCTTATCTGTTCCGATGAACTCATCTCCACCTTGGATGGCCTACAGGTAGAGTAAATTTTCAGCAAATTTCCATTTTTGGTGACCTATTCATTTAAGCCAAATACTCCAAATAATAATTCTATATTTATTCTTATGTCTTTAAGCATGTATTTTATCTGTAGGCTTTTATTTGCTTGCTCATGTACATATGGACAATTGAATGTACTATTTTGCATGAGTTCTGTTGGATCTGTTTTGCATGCTCTGTTGTCCCTGTGGCATCAGGCTTACAGTTGTTTTCTTGCACACTGGGAGTGGCTAAATGACAGTACAGTAATATTCTCTTATTCTCTCTTTTTCTGTTGCAGGTGTGGTGCGAAACCAGCAAAGAGGAGGAGGAGGAGGAAGAAGAAAGTGAGGATTTAAAGGGCAGTATTGCGTTCTGTTTGCAGGTTGAGCACACAGGAATTCGTACATACTTCTTCAGTGCAGACAGCCAGAAGGAGCAGGAGGAGTGGATCCAAGCCATGAGTGAGGCTGCCAGGGTCCACATCCCGGCCACATCCAGGTACATACACGCATCTATAATATTAAAATTTAAATTCACTCAAAAATCTAAATTCTATCATCATTTACTCGCCCTCCAGTTGTTCCAAACCACATGATTCTCTTTCTTCTGAAAAAAATGAATAAATCCTGTATTATTATTATTATGGTCTTTTCAAAAGTGAAGAAATTGGTTTTGAAAAGTCACTAAAAAGGATTTGTGTAACATTGTAAGCAACAGGGCGTACCAGTAACATGCTGTGTAAGTCTTTGTGCAGTAGGAATCTTATTTTCTTAAATAAAGACCAGGCAATGCTAATTTTAAATGTACTGCACAGTGAATATGGCATAAATAATATGACCACATAGTGACCAACTGGAAATAGCGCAGCATAGTTTGAAGTTGCTCGCTCATGTCATGTGCATCCATGTGTGTTTTCTGTGCGTATGCACTCAGGCACCATGTTTTCAGCGCTGTCAGAATAAAAGTCCTGTTTGCAACGCTTATCGGCCAAACACTAAAACTTATTGTCCAATTACAAGAACTAAAAAAAAAGCTAAATATCGGTTTTGACAGTATATTGGTCCACTATTACTAGAAATGTAGCGCATGAGTCATAATGGCTACTTCCATGAAACTTTTCTGGTGCTTTTGTGAACCTCTATTCAGTACAAATAGTTTTTTTATATAGAATTAAAATAGTAGTTCTTCATGATTTCCACTTTTGTGTTTCACAGTAGAATGTAATATGGTTTTGGACAATGTCAGCATTTCGCAAACAGCCAAAGACACAGATGTGATGAAAATGTATGCAGAGCAACAACTAAAATAGCACAGATGGAGCACAAGAGCATGCCGTTAATGCTGCTACCCTGATACTCTGGAACATCCAGTCATGTGCACTCCTTATAACACAACATTTCACTGAACAGATCAAAGGCATCACTCTGTTTATGACAGTGTTTTACAGATGTTTTGTCTTTCTCTTTCCTGCTGTTCTGCAGAAATAGGTCTGAGCATGTCCCTACAGCAGAACAAAACGACATGGTAGCCAAACATCTCGAGCCCAACTCTCATGCAGAGAATGGCCAGAGGCCAGATGTCCACGAGCCTGTCAAACACGAGTTTAACGGCGTAGAAACCAGAGACACCATTCCCAGTACCCCAGTGACCCCAGTTACCCCTAATATAGAGGGCAGGATGGGGGAGAAAGGAGGCCTGGCACCCCATCACCCCAACGGCTGGGGTAGCTATGGTCCTCCCAACGGTTCAAGATACCAGTCCCAAGAGAACGTGAGGGACATGCGGGAGCCAGATGAGGAGAATATTATGATGCAGAGGGGCTTTGTGCCTAGGACGGTGCCGGAGAGACTTGCCCAGAGGAAGAGCTCCATGACGCAGCTGCAGCAGTGGGTCAACCAGCGGCGGGCCATAGTGACTCAAGACGACGGCTGCAGGTGAGGTCTAGAGTGCCTTCGTAACCTCATCATTTTTTTCTCAGCAGGGTTATTACAGTTTTTTTTGTATTTATTTTTTCTTTAATTTTAAGTTTAAATTTAGTTTTAATATGTGTTAAACTAAACTAAATAAAACAGGTACAATTAGTAAACTGATTTACTTTAGTCATTTAATTTCTCTGCAGTCTATGATAATTACACCCCTTCTTAGTCCATCCAGGTACCACACAGTAAACCGCGCTATGTCAGCAGACTATTACGGTGTGTACAGCGGCCCTCCGTATGTGGATGACTATCCCCTCTACCCACCTGGTGTGCGACCTGAGAGCATCTGCTCCATGTCGGCTGCATACAACCGACCACCGCCTCGCTGGACCATGGAAGAGAGGAGGCGATCATTGCGAGACGGACCCTTATATGGTCAACCTCGAGACCCTCAGTGGATGATGGGACCCCAGGGTCCTGCCTATTACCCCCAGTTAGACTCAGCACAGAACTCTATGAGACGGCTTTCCGTACAGCCACGCTCACGGTCGGTCCCTCGTTCGCCCTCCTCTTCATCAGGAGGACCCTATTCTCCACACAGCTTCGCCTCACCTGCCCGATCGCCCAGCGCCAGGTTTGATCGGGGACCCGGACGACTCAGAGAGGAGGGTATATATGCTGACCCCTCAGTCTACGGGCTCCGCAGGTCACTGAGCTCACCTAAGGTAAAGCACCTGTCAAGCAACTAAGTATCCATAACCAATTATCTTGTGACAATTACAAATTATTCTGGCTAAGAACTGCTCACGTAAACTGCAAAATATATTATATGCTGACACTAAATTACCATAATTAATTCTTGTTTTAATCTTATTTCCCTGGATATCGTCACTCCTGTATTAAATTATCAAAAGAAATATAATATAATATGTGATTATATTATATTATATTATATTATATTATATTATATTATATTATATTATATTATATTATATTATATTATATTACCCAAGAACAAAAATATATTACAGAAGGACTTGCCTAACATTTATTATTAAAAAGAATCAAAATAATTATATTATATTATATTATATTACCCAACAACAAAAATATATTAAAGAAGGACTTGCCTAACATTATTAAAAAATAAAATATCATATAATATAGCATATAATAGCATATATTCCAGCAGATCTAGCCTTTTTTGTGTCTTACTTTAAATTACCATAATTATTCTTGTTTTAGTATGATTTCCCTGGAGATCGTCGCTCTTACAGTCAAGGAATGTACCACTACAACTACCCAGCATCCCCTTCGGTCCATAGTAAAATGGTAAGTCAACACTTTTAAGCACTTGTGAATTTATTTAGCATGATACACACCATTTACATCCTTGTCAATTGAGAACCAGCAAATCATGTGATCACGTGACTGATAATTTGTATGTGCAACAAATCAAGTGCACTAGCTTGGCTATTGAATGATTGATGAGGGCATGTAATTGTCTGTTCTTATGAGTATGAGTGTGCTGCACCACACTTTGCTGTGATTAGCAATGCCGTGATTAGCATGTGTCTGTCCTCACCTGTGTCTCAATCTCCGTTTCTCCATCCAATGTTTTTGCGTGCTGTATGCTGCTGCTGGGTTTGACACACTGGGCTTTGCTGCTGCCTCACTGCACACATCAGGAGGACATTTTAGATGTGCAGCTTCAGAGGAACCTGGAGTACCTAGATCAGCAGGTAGGAGGCTCGATCCAACAACCACATCTGAGATTCAATGCTGACAGCACGTTAGCTCTGTTCCGAAACCTAGTGAGCTACTCAACTACGCGACATTTCAAGCATGAAAAGAATATTAATTATGATTAAAACTTGAATATGTAGAATGTTTTAAATTAATGAATTTCCACTTTAGTTAGGATGCTTCTTTAGAAAGCAGCTGCATGTGGACAGTAGACAGAGTCAGCTCACTAAGTTTTCAAACAGAGCTTTTGATTGTTGGCTTCACATTAAAGGACGATAAAGAACAAACTGACCAATGTTTGGTTGTCCACTTCAAGACATTAACAACCATGTCATAAATGTAGTCAGTCACAGTCCTCTCAAACATTTTTCTGAAGCACCACCTCCTGTTCTCACCGTCTTCTCTCCTATCTCCTCTCTGTGTCAGTTCTCACACTGTTTTCTAATTTTATAACAGTTGCATGTTAACAGGAGCGGCTGCTATATATGGCTTCTTCGTAATTGTCACATGGGGAAGTTGTCACGAGGGTTATATCTCAGGAACTGTAAGGTTCTGAGTCAAGAGTCACAAATATGTGTTTACTCTAGCAGTGTTATTTTTTTATGTTTGTTTTGAAAAATCTTGATTAAAAAACAGTTTTAAATCATTATTTTTTTTGTCAGTTCTGGACATGATCGTTTTTAATATCAGATTGAGGAAGTTTTACCCAACATTTTTATTGGGGCAAATTGTCACGTTTTATATTTTGTAAATTATACATTTTCAATAATTATTTTAATTAGTTTCTTTTGCAGTTTTGCTGTTTTGCTGTTTTATGAATTGTTTATTATTTCATTTTTTTAACTGATTATATTTTGTTGATATGCCTGTTATAATTTTTATTTTTAAGTCCTGTTTATACGAACTTCCTTTACATCAAAGAACCTGAGAAAAGTGAATCACAGCTTAACACAAAACTATGAAGCAGAACAATTGTTTTAAACATCGATCGTTAGAAATGCTTCGTTATTAAAATAATTTCTGATGGATCATGTGCCTGAAGACTGGAGTAATGGCTGAAAATCCAGAAAAAAAAAATCTGAAAATCAGCAGGAAAATATACATTTTAAAATATATTAAAATATAAAAAATGTTATTTTAAATTTTAATAATATTTCACAATAGTATTGTTTTACTGCATTTTTCATCAAATAATTGCCACCTTGGTGAGTATAAGAGACTTCTTTCAGAAACATTAAAAAATATATTACTGCACCAAACTTTATAATGGTAGTGTAGTGTAATGACTTTAAAAAAATAAGAAATTTTCTACCATAAGAAATATTCACTAGAGTTAAAAAAAGTCAGACAACTTGCCCCAGTCTCTCCTATGTCCTCTATCTGCTGTGGATATTGTAAGTATACTGTAAACTAGGTTCCATCAAATTCGGCCATATTCAAGGTCAGGCATATAGCCGGGTGAATGATAATGTGTTCTGCCCTAGATGACAGATGGTGATCACCTAATCGGCATGGTAACCAGAATGGTTGAGCGTTCCTCTCCTCAAGCAAAACTATTCTCACAAGTAAGAGAGTCGAGACTCCTCTAGAGAGGCAGGCTGCTGTTCTACCTGCTATTCCTGCACTACTGAAGCTCAGTTCAGCCTCTGTCTGCCAAAGTTAGACTCAAATGAGGCTGTTCTGGGGTTGAGGCGGAGCCTGCCTCTCTCTGTGCATCCTGGTCGATGTGGCATGTTGACTGTTTCGATAGTGCTTTAGGTTTAAGTGAACAGAAATTTTGTTTTAGAGCCTTAACCTTTAAGTTCAGCTTAAAGAGAGCCACGATCTTCAGTGTCTCTTTGGTTTTAAGATTTTTTACTTTATATCTGAATCCCGCCATTTCCAGTGCTCGTTTGCCTAAAATCACATCCTCCATTGTGTGGTCATTGTGTATTGTGTCGTCTTGTTTTTGTCCTTTGTGTACAGTATTTGTCTTATCCACTCATACCATCAAGCAAGAAAGCCATTTTCAGTGGATAGCCTTCACACGGTGGTGCTTATCATTGACACAGCATTTGGGATGGTTTTTATTGCTGAATAATGCAAACAGCACATTGCAATGGCTATTTATTTTTAAAGTTTTGGTATTTATTTATTCATAAATTAATAACAATTGTGTTTGGATTTTTTTATTAGTATTATTTTATTTATTGTTTATTATATTATTATTTTAAATCTTATTTACTCCTAAATCAAATTCTTCCAAGTTTTTCATATTCAAAAACTGCTGGTCTTTTCAAATGAGAAGACTCATTTTCACTAAGATTTCCATTTTATTTATTCTCTCCGGTTATAGGTGCCTCCATTCCATGATGTGTACGGTGACCTACATCCCACACTGAAGCTTAATGAGATTGAGACCAGTGTAAGTCACTTTGTCTGATCAAAGGCATGCATAAATGTACAACTTTGCAAATCACTGTCATTCACATAACAGAGCCATGAACTCATTCATTTTGTCTCTGTACAGAAACTACTGGGCTGCTTGTGTGAGCAGAATCGACTTGTGAAAGAGCAGGAGACTGTAGTTCACCATTTGCGAATGGAAAAGGTACATTTGTAGCTTTTAGGAGTTCTCTAAAAAAAATGGTTATGAAATACTATTATAATATATTTAATATAATATTTAAACAAATATTACAGCATTAATTTAATATTTAATATTACATTATCAATATAAACCACCTAATTATGCCTAAAACTACTGTCCTCACTCACTTGACTGTTTTCTGCAATTTCCAGGACAGTCTAGAGGGGGTGCTGGTGGCCACGCATCAGGAGATGGAGCTGTACAGGAGCCAGCCGCTGGCCATGGAGAAACTTCAACTGAAGAAGGAGAGTCTACAAAACAAGCTGATTAACATCAGAGGAGAGCTGTCTCAGGCCTCCAATGTAGGAAACCAGACAATTTTACACTTTTATGAACACACATTACCCCATAACCGAAGCTAATGTTTTTGATTAAATAAATGTTGTTGTTTCTTTTGTTATTTGTACTTCACAGGCCCTGACCACCACCCGTATGGAGTTTGAGGTACTAGAGGATGAAGTAAACAGCATCCACGGGGACCTGTGGGAGCAGCTGAATGCTGGAGGGCAGGTACGTTGGATACTGGCTCCACATTTGTCATCATCATCATTAGTTACCAGGAAACCTTGAACTCCTTCACTACAAGCCCTTAATGACTTCTGCCACCTTTCCATTTAGGCAAATCATTTATTTATGAGCACATGCAATTATCATGCGAATGGCCTCCACTGCATTCAGCACTGTCATGATCATTTTTACATGTTTGATTTACCTTTATCCACTGTTAGTGGTGTGATGAGGGCATTGTTGTAGTAAAAAAAGGTGACCTTGATTATACAGAATTCATTTGAATATTCAATTAAGATCCATAGTAATTATCTGTTTAATGCAACAAGAACTGCTCAAAGTCCTTTGAAATGGAGATGAATAATGCAATCAGTAATTGAATAGCATGGGATTCTCTCATTAATTTTGAATAAGAATTGAATATGCATTATTGTAATGATGACAGTGCTTCAATAATGCATGTGTCTCTCTGTTTCAATGAATCACTTGTCTAAACGAATCTCCTCTTCTCCCAGAGTGAGTTGGTACACAGGCACATTCAGAAGGAGTTCTGGAGGGTTCAGGATGTTTTGGAGGGGCTGCACAAGAACAACCTATCTCGTGGCACGGATACGGCCAAGCACAGAGGTCAGATGATCTCCATACTGCGCGGCATCACACATAATCTATGCAAGTTCATTTTGGCACTCACCACCATGGTGCTGCAGAGCAGAAGAATTACTTATTTCTGACCAGTTTCTAGCTATTTATTATAGTCAGCATGAAATGAAAATTCACCTTATTTATTTTTTACATAATTTAATTTGTCAAATTGGTTCGTAATTTTTAATCAAAATGTCATAACTGGTTCGTCTGGTGAAACGACTGACTTGTTTTATGACATATGCTTCTATTAAATGACTTTTTAATTCATTTGGTCTACATAAACCCTGTCCCTTTCTTACAGTCAACTGCAAGCTCACATTCAGATTCGCTGTACATCACAAAACAGAAGAAAAGATCTGTCGCTATTTCTGTTCTGTATTTTCTGTATAGAGCTGCAGTTTTCTTATGTAAACATGAATGTTGTGTGCCTGCTGTTGCAGTTATGCTGCTGCAGCAACGCTTTCATGCAGTGCGTACGATGTGAAACAGGCTTAGTAATTGGGAAACAGACAGCAATGTCATTTGTTTTATGATTTGATTATTTTTTATTGGAATGCAACTGTAGCAAAGTAGAGCATATTACAGGGAAGAATATTAGGTTACTTTTGACGTCATGACATTAGTCCTTAACTCTATTATCTTTCTCTGTCTCCTGTAGCCAGTGGAGCATCCGGCTCCTTCAGCACAAACAGTCCTGCAAGTCCCTTGAGTTCAGTGAGTCTGACGAGTCCTCTCAGCCCCTTCTCTCCTGTCACTGGCTCTCAGGCCTCTCCCACCAAACAGCTGGCCACAGAGGTATTTCACACAGCATTATTCTTCAATGAAAGAAGAAAAAAGGGCTGACATTTTTCTTGCTATTTCCTGAGCATATGAAGTTAATTATATTTAATTATAGGATACATTACATTTAAATCATGGTTTACAGTAAGAAACAAGTGAAAAACTAATCAAAAGAGTGACTAGAAACCAACACGATTTTATTGCCTCACAATGGCGCCTGTCTAAAAAATTTAGTTTATAATTGACTTTTTCTTTGCAGTCGGGATTGTTCCACCCAGGACCAAGTCGCCATCAGAAAACAAGACCAATTCTGATGGCGTCCAATGGAGAAATGGGAAGGTGTCCAATGGTCATATTTCCAGAGTAAGTTAAATCTGTGCTAACTGTTTATGTTTTCAATAATAGCTTCACATTTTATGAGAAAATATGAAGAACTATAAAATATAGCCAGTACCATTAGTTTAATCAACATAAGTTACAGATCCAAATTCTGGGTTCTGATTCAGTATGTATAGGACTAGGTGGCATTATAGGTAATCTTTTATAAATGTGTTGTGTAATGGTATTGGATGTGTGTCCCAGGAGAGACCAAAGAGTGCAGTGTTCCCCGCAGAGGTAAAGTCTAAAATGACTGTGGAGGAACAGAATGAGAGGATACGAAGAAACCAGAGCAACTCAGTCAGAGACAAAAGGCGCAGCCTCAACCTCTCCAGCAACCAGAACATTGATGGCTTCAAATCTTCTGCTAACTACAGAGTGGTTATTGTCATATTCTTAAGCATTTTTTTTCTCTGTACTGAAGGTGTAACACATTATTGCAGGTTTAACTGCTTATCAATGCACTTTATTACCAATAGCTCATGTTTTTGAGACGCTACTGGCAAAACCTTTTTTTTTGCACTGGTTGATTTTGATAATGCATAATTTGCTCATTTAAACAAACTTTCAGAAAACTTGTAATAAAAAACAATAGTCTTAATGTACTGTAATTAATCAACTGGTTAAATCTGGTGATATCTATCAGTTATAATTTTTACCCTATTTACCCTCAATTCATACCCTCACCGTTTATAAGGGTCAGTTGTGATCATTTAGGCACTTCACAGAGAGAAAAAAAAGCAGTCCAGTAAAATGATCTGCACTTGAAATTTACTTGAAAAGTAGCAAGACTGCAAAATATATTATTGATATATTCTAAATATAATTATATTGGGTGCCATAAAGTATATGCTTAAAACAAGAAAAAATGGTGTGAGGCAAATAAAATATATTCTATGAAACCATTTTGCAGTTTATGTCATGCTAAGCATTGAGCCAGTTGTTCTTCCTGATATCCAGGTGCGGAGGAGAGTAACGGCTGATGAGGTGGATATTAAGGATCTTGAGGCGGCCGTGAGGGGAGAAGGTATGGAGTCACCCAGGGAAGAAATTGCTCGTCTGCGACGACAGGTGGAACCTGAACACTATGACCTGGATCTCAACAAAGAGGTTAGAAATCACATAGCAGCACTGCACATTGCACCATGAACATTGTCCAGTTTTTTAATAACGGTTGATGTGAAGGATAGGCAAGGACATTTGTGTCATTGTTTCTCTAGTTGTCCATGCCGGACAAAGTCCTGATCCCTGAGCGATACTTGGACATTGAGCCCAGTACACCACTCAGCCCAGAAGAGCTGCGGGAAAAACAGAAGAAAGTTGAAAGAATCAAGACACTGATTGCCAAATCTAAGTATGATGCACATCATGTCCTCATCCACTGCACACTGAGTAACCTTTATTTTGTTTTGTTTTTGTCCATCCAAACCCATTTGTTGTTATGCCATAAACCATATGCAGCACTTGCCGAACAATTAGGGACTGCCAAACTTCTAAAATTAAGTCAAGCTCTCAAAATACAAGTATAAAAAACACCATCAAAGATTTTTCACTTTTGTGTTCTTTAGAAAATACAACAGGTTACAGTTTTGGTTTCAAACAACATTGAGTAAACTTTGGCAGAATTTCCTCTTAGGTGAAATCAATACTTGAAAAATGACTTTATTACATCTGTGGATATATATATATATATAATTTTTATTTTTTTATTTATTTTTTTATTGAATATTAATATCCTATCTGTCTTTCTCCAGCCTGCAAAATGTGGTGCCGGTGTTGGACGGGCCAGTGGAGGGACCCAGTAACCCAGAGCTGCAGCTTCATGAGCAGGAGAAACGCATCGAGATTTCCTGCGCTCTGGCGGCCGAGGCCTCCCGCCGTAGCCGGCTGCTCTCCGGTGAGGAAGCCTGCCGCCCTGAGGAGCCTGGGCGAGCTGTGACACCAACTGTCTGACCACTGTCTCACCCTCATGCCCTTTCAATGTCACATGCTCCTCGATGTCCTCAAAGTACACTTCACCACACTTCAGTGCTGAGGTTGCACTTTAATTATAGTTATTGTTTGACTTAGTTGAACTATTATATTTGCTATTTTGCAGAAGAAATTTATATTTGAATTGATATTTAATTGATCTGTTTCAAAATTCACAACACATTTATGAAGCTTTTAGATACCATCTAGATGCATGACCTCGGTACTGAAGCACACTCTCTAGTTCCATCTAGATTCACTGGGGAACTGCTCTAGAGTGAGAGATTTTCTCAAATTAACGACTATGAATATATAAAGGTTTGTTATTGTCACAAAATTTTACACTTCAGAACACATATGAATTGACAAAGGCAGAGAGGACAAACATCAGTAATAAACAGAGAGAATTTTAAAAATAAAATATATATTTTTTTATTCATCATGCCTTTGATCTCAGTTTCTAGATGAAGATTTATGGACAACCAAAATGCAAAATAAAATTTAAAATCATGCATTGGACTTTCCTTCATAGTTTTCTTTCATTTCATTCCATATTTTTTGTTGTCAAAAATTCAATTAGCATGGATTAATTTTGCCTTCTGGCTTGTGGCTCTGTAGAGAGGACCGTATATATCCACCTCTCTGTCCCACAATTCCTATTTCATTTGCTTCATGGCATATGTTTTCTTTTGACATCCCCCCCATAATTTCACTGCATTGCAGCACAGTGCGTCCCCAGTCCCCCTGCCTCCCCAACCAGCCTGGTCCCTCCCCCTTCTGCTGACTACTCTGACTCTTCCCACATCATGAAGGTGTGAAGGTGAGTCCCGCCCACTGCACAACAATCCCCGCCCCTTCCTTTCACTTCCCAGTTCCTCACACAAACTCTCTTTCTGGTCCTGCTCATTATTGCCCTTGCTTTCTTTTACTTTCAGTCTAGCTAGAAATATAACAACGCTGAATATTGATGCATTTACACCACCGTTTTGGTAGAAAAATATTCTGGTATGGAAAAAATGTGATTTAAGAAAAATTCTTAATCTTGGTTAACGGCACATTTATTACAGGACTTGTGGCTATTTCACAAACAGCTCCTACAAATGTGTTGACTGGCTTTCATTCTGTATTATCAGCATAATTTCCAGTGATCAAGTCTACACAGTGTTAACAGACTAACTGTAAACTTAACAGCTGCAATCAACTCATGACAAAATAATAGTCAGCCATGATCAAAACCATGTGACAAGAATGATAAAAAAAGGTGATGTTGGCGTTTGAACGTTTTGGTCTATGTTAATCATATCACAGTGAACTTTCATGAACTCTCTAAATTTCTCTTGTGGTCCATTAACAGTTTATTAAAGAACATTTTCACACGGAAACCAGATGCAGCTATTTTAGCAACTGTTGTACAATCGGTTCACCTTATTAACTGTTGGGTCAGAAACACTTGACAGTATGTATGCGAATGCAAAGGCGAATGTTTAAACATTCGCATTGCAAAATAACAACCATATTGAATGTATTCTATTTGTGTTTCGCTGTACAGCCATGATCAAAACCATGTGACAAGAATGATAAAAAAAGGTGATGTTGGCGTTTGAACGTTTTGGTCTATGTTAAACATATCACAGTGAACTTTCATGAACTCTCTAAATTTCTCTTGTGGTCCATTAACAGTTTATTAAAGAACATTTTCACACGGAAACCAGATGCAGCTATTTTGGCAACTGTTGTACAATCGGTTCACCTTATTAACTGTTGGGTCAGAAACACTTGACAGTATGTATGCGAATGCAAAGGCGAATGTTTAAACATTCGCATTGCAAAATAACAACCATATTGAATGTATTCTATTTGTGTTTCGCTGTTGGTAGCAAACCTCAGAGTTCAAAAGATTCACGTAGGTAATAAAGTGTGCCATTAAGCCAGATATTATTATTCAGGTAGCTATTTTTATAAACATGTTAACTTTAACTATGTAGGCCATGTCACACATGGTGAGTTTAATGTACAGTGGCTATAGAAAAGAATCACCCCCTTTAAAATAATCACATTTTGTTGATTCGCAGCATGAAATGAAGACAAACACAGTTTTTGTTTTATCCAGCTGTATTTATTCAGTGCAACTTATAACATCCAAGTGAAAGATATAACACCAACATGTCAGAAAAAAAACAACAACAAAAAAAAACAGAATCACTGAGTTGGAAAAAGGATCACCTTATGTCAGTATTTTGTTGAACCACCGTTTGCTTTAATTACAGCCTTTAGTCTGTTGGGATATGTCTCTACTAACTTTGTACATCTAGACTTTACAATATTTGCCCACTCTTCTTTGCAGAACTGCTCAAGTTTAGTTAAATTTGTTGGTGGACTGCAGTCTTCAAGTCATTCCACAGATTTTCAATGGGGTTTAAGTCTGGGCTCTGACTAGGCCATGCAAGGGCATTCACATTTTTCTCCTTCAACCACTGTGTAATTTGGGTCATTGTCTTGTTGGAAGGTAAACCTTCTTCCCATTGACAACTTTCTGGCAGAGGGCAGCAGATTTTCCTCAAGAATTTGACGGTATTTTGCCCCATCTATTTTTCCTTCTATCCTGACAAGTGCTCCAGTTCCTGCTGCAGAGAAACACCCCCATAAACAGGATATGACCACCTCCATGCTTTACTGTAGGAATGCTGTTATTTGGATGGTGAGCTATATTGGATTTCCACCAGACATATCGTTTGGTGTTGAGGCCAAATAATAACATTTTTGTCTATCTGCCTCAGCATCTTTAAGGTGTGTCGTGACTGCATGTGGCCTTTCTTGAGGAGTGACTTTTTTCTTGCAACCCTCCCATACAAGCCACATTGGAGCAGAATTTGTGACCTTGTCGTCACATGCACACAATGACCACTCTTTGTCATACATTTCTGCAACTGCTTCAGAGTTGCTGTAGGCCTCTTGGTCGCCTCTCTGACCAATTTCCTCCTGACTCTTTCATCCAGTTTGGAGCGATGTCCTGATCCAGGTAGGGTCTGTGTTGTACCAAATACCTTCCACTTCTTAATAATAGGCTTCACTGTGCTTTTAGGCATTGATAAAGCCTTTGAATTTTTTTTTTATCCATCTCCTGACTTGTGCCTGTCCACAGCTTTATCCCGGAGATCTTTGACAAGTGTTTTGCCACCAATAGTTGATTGTTTGCTTCAGTTGCACTACCAAGTACTGAAATGCTCCAGGAAAGCTGTTTTAATGCTGAGCTGATCAAAATGACCACAGCTGATCACAGTTGAAAGTCAAATTTGTGTGCCATTGAGGTGATTAACTACACCTGATTGCGTTTATAAGCCATTTTTAGGAGGGGGGTGATCCTTTCTCCAACTCAGTGATTCTGTTTTTTGTTCTTTTCTGACATGTTGGTGTTGTATCTTTCACTTGGATGTTATAAGTTGCACTGAGTAAATACAGCTGGATGAAACAAAAACTTTGTCCGTCTTCATTTCAGGCTGCAGAAAAACATTTTAAAGATTATTTTAAAGGGGGTGATTTTTTTCTACAGTATATCCACTGTTACTCTGAAGTTCTCATCCAAGGGTCAGGGGCCCACTAAGGAGCTTCAGCAAACTTTCAAGGAAGCTTTAAGATGGCTTAAAACAAAACTACTAAAAATCAGGATATTATTTTAATTCACTCCCTAATTAATTAAATCTTATAACTCCATGGGTATTTTTCTAATAAATAAGTTATTCCAAGCTCTGAAATATTTAAGTGGGTAGAAATTGTGAATGCTTTGCATTAAATTGACATAAAAATTGTCAATATAAGAAGAGAATTTACACTCATGTCCATTAAAGCATCCCCTGGTGGCAGCACATTGCATTATCAATTCCGGTCTGATACATCTTGCATTTTTCACCCAAAAATGAGAACGGTGTCATCATTTGCTAACCCCCTTCACATCCTGTATGACTTTCTTCAGTGGAACACAAAATTATCAGTACAATGAATATCAGTGGGGTCAACGTTGTTTCAGACTCCTTCATTGAATTTGTATGGACAAAATGAGTTGAATCATTCTTCAAAATGTCTTCTTTTGTGTTTCACAGAAGAAAGTACTTCATATACAGGTTTGCAGTGACATGAGTAAATGGTGACAGAATATCCATTTTTGGGAGAACTATCTCTTAAACATTTCTAGATGCATTCACATTCTTGCAAAGAGTGTGTTTTCGGCCTTATTATAATTTTTCTGTGTGTTTAAATGTGAAAAACGTTCAGCTGAACAAAAGAAATACGACAGTCTCTGACAATACATTTGTTCTCCTCTTCTCTTTGTTCTCTCTTCTTCTCCCATTTTCCCAGCTCAAGCTCTTGCAGCTGTCAAATTTGACGGTGAGCCCTTCTGAGTGTCCAGCAGACAAAGAAAAGATGGAAAAAAACACTGAACACCAAGAACGTTTTGTTTTGCCTCCGCCAAACATTGTATTTCTTTCGATTACTTACACAACACCATGCAGAGAAATATTTCAAAATGTTTGGATGTCTGCAGAGGGCTGTTCACGAGCGAGGCAATCTGCCCCCACATCTCCTCACAATCCTCATTCGGAGTGCGTAACCCACGGCAGAACTACGTAATTCAATTAATCAGCTGTTTTGACTTGATTTCGGAAGATGGGAGTCATATTACAAAAGCTACAAACTAGCCAGGAGTGGACGATGTTTACAGATTCATATCTACTCTCAGTCACATCACTGACTGGAGTACATACAGCAAATTCATACTACAAATGCTGGGTACAGCTGCTCAGGGTGGATTCTTGCGACAGGAAGGAGCATGACAGAGACCGAGATGCGACCAGAGGAAAATAGCCATGTTTGAGGAAGTTGTAAAAACCAGACCAGGGACTACAGCAAAGTTGTCAAAGGGCAGTTTATCTGTAAGTCATCAGAAGAGTGATTTGGAACTGCTAGTATGATAATTATCTGTGTTCAGAACACTAGCCGCAATCAACCCCCGAGGATTTATGAACACAACTCAGTAGGAGCTTGGAACAGTCGTAGACTGTGGATGAATCCGCTGTTGTCTTGATCCAAAGGATGTTGATGATGCAAGAAAACTTGGCATTGGGCACTTCCCCTCCATCAACTTTAAGGCCAGACTCACTGTGACTCCTCCTGGCCTCCTCTTTTCCCACCGTCCTTTCTAGTTTCAAAATAGGGCTTGAGAACCCTCTTCCCGTCAACATTGCAGTCACTCAAACCATTGTCAGGCCTTTAAGTACCGTGTGTATCTATAAATAAAGCATATATATTGATATGACTATTACTCTAATCTTTGCATCAAAGCCATGTGGACTCATCATAGTGCTTTTACTGCTAGGACAGTACCAAATATTGGTACCTAAATACTTGTGAGTGTGTGTGTTAGATTAATAAGATGAGAAAGCAGAAACATTGGAAGTGTCCTTAGAGTTGTAAATCTTCTTGTTGAAACAACGCGTGTTCATGCGAGGCCAGCAACTTGCATTACAGCCTGTATATACAGATGTTAAATTATGTAACCTGTTGCCCCAACAGAATATCAAAGCCCTTATTTGTGATCGTTGTGCCATTTGGAGATTCATTTGGCTGTTTCTTTTCTGCTGTGGCACAGTTTTTGTGTAAATATAGATTAACATGGAATTAAATGGAACAATATTTTGGATTATTTTTCTATCACAGGTAATTACCTCTGTAATCAAGCAGCTTGATTATAATTTATCGTAAAGTAAAGAACAATTTGCCAAACCATATAAATCTCCTGTTTTGTACTTTGAGGTGATCGTTCCCAATATCGAAACCTCTAAAATGCCATGCAAGTTGTTAGCCCATTCTATGCTTTCTGCTTGTCTTTATTTTTATTTATTTTTTTTACATGAAATTACTCTGTTTTTGGTCTAGCTCTTGACTAAACACTGGCCTCAGCTTGTGTATGATCTGTTTTGTGAGAATTTGTTTGACGAAACTGTCATGTCATATTTATTTCTCTGCAAAGTCACAGAAATCATGTTGTTCTTATTCCAAAAAACAAAACAAAAAAACAACCAACCAAAAACCTGAATCATGCTAAAAAAACAGTATGAGATCTGGGAAAGAGAAAAAACGTTCCAGAGAAGCAAATTATTCATCATCATTTTTAAGCAAAAACAGCCCTGAATGGGAAGACAGAGATCTATTTTTTATCCTTTTTCAGAAAGAGAAAAACAAGATCAGTGCATCGCATATTTTTATATGAATAAAATGAGGTTTAATTGGTTACATTTGTAAAATGATTAAAGAGAGTTTTGATCTGATATATTATGGAGATACTGATCAAGGCTGATATATTTTTAATTTATTGACCTAAACTTTACAGCATCCTTTTGAAGGCCTTGTTTAAAAGTCATTTTTAAGTGTTATTTTGTACGTAATTGGACAAAATGGTCAAAGTTGCAGTTGGACAGTCAAAGCAGAGATGTCTAATATTAGATTTTTTTTTTTTAAATGTAGCATATAAAGTGGGATTAACTACAAGAATTCAAAATAAGCACATTGGTCTGTGTAAATATTTTTAAATCAAAACACTGTATGTCTTCATATTTACCATAACTAATGGTATTTTAAGGGAAAAAACGAGACTGCTTGAGCTATGCAAATCAAACAAAATAATACTTAATGTGCTTGCTTTAGAAGTACCCTCATGCAATAAAGTGAATGTATTTAAAACCTTTTGTAATTAAAACTCCTCATTTATTCATATCACTTTTCTTCAGTAGAGTTTGTACAGCCATAATTGTATTTCGACACTGTGTTCACTCACCTCAGGTGAATTTACTGTAATTGAAAATGAAGGCAAGAAGCTGCCTAATTTGAATGGTGAACAAGAAAAATACAGATACTTCAAATGTTATGATGTTACTTGTAGAGTCCAAAAAAATCTAATTTGTTAACCTTAAAGGTGCTGTATGTAGGATTGACACCGAGTGGTTGAACTAGGTATTGCAGTCCAAATTCAAAATATTGGAGAGGGTTTTTTTCACCCGGCCCCTCCTCCTCAGACTTGAGGCACAGGCAGGTTGCCAGATTGACGACACCAACAGGAACGAGCGCACTTGACGATGAATGGAATTAAATACGATGTGTTTTCCGCCAACTGGCAACCCAGGGTGCCGCAATACAATTGGGTAAAGTGGCAGTAGGCGGGTTTCACAAACCAAAACAGAGACCGACATTCCGGCCGGAACACACATTTTCAAAGGAGAATAACTGACTGTAGCATTGTTTTTCAGATAAACAAATATGTTAACTTAGCATGTTTCTTAAATATCTGCAAACATATTATGGTATTTTTATGCTTTAGTAGAGTCAAAAACTTACATACAGCACCTTTAAACATGAGACACACTAGACCAAGATTTCGTTCACTTTTCATTGCAAATATGCAAATCTCCCTGGATGTAGATAAGGTTAGACTATATTACAAGTTGAGTTACAACAGAAGCTCTTTTTAGCAACTTGTGAGGTAAACTGGATTAATTTCAGCCAAATAAATATATGAAGCCTATTTATTTCAAGAGTTTGAAGCCTTAGTCTTGTTATGACAGTTGGAAATGGAATACGCCGCAATCAAACCCATAATGTTGAGCCAGAAGTCAGTCAGTTCAACATTCCAACACACTTTTTCACAGAAATTCAACCACTTATTAAGACCACAATTTTTCTGGGCCACTTGTAACATTGCTTGTAAGAAATCAAGCTTAGTGGTGAATATTTGCTTTATTTAATTTACATTTGCATTTCATTTTAAGGATGAGAAAAAAGTCAGAATTGTAAGATGTAAACTTGGAATTATGAGAGAGAGAGAGAGAGAGAGAGAGAGAGAGAGAGAGAGAGAGAGAGAAGCTGAACAGAACTGTGAGATTTAAATTCGGAATTTTGAGAAAAATGTCAAGAGTTGCAAAATGTAAACCAAAAAAAAAAGTCAGACTTGTGAGATGTCACTTTGTAATTCTGTTTAGAATATTAGAATGATTTCTGAAACTGGAGTATTCAGCTTAGCCATCACAAAAATGCATTAACATTTAAGTACAAAAATTACTTTAAATTGTAATAATATTTCACAATATTTTATTTTTTACTTGCAAAAATGCAGCCTTGGTGAGCATAAAAGGTTTTTTTTTTTTTTCCACAAACATCAAAAAATCTTTTGATCAATAGTGTATAGGCATATATTGTGTATTTTCCAAACTTTTTCCCTCCTATATCAGATTCTGTTTCTGTCTGGTCTGGCCTTCATCATTGGCTTGAGGAGGACGGCCCACTTCTTTTTCCAGAGACAGAAGCTCAGAAGCTCCGCCTTCTTTCTTGGAGGCGTGGCTTTAGTTCTACTAAGATGGCCTCGTATTGGCATGCTAGTGGAGACCTATGGCTTTGTGCTTCTCTTTAAGTAAGTAAATAGTTGAATTATATCCTGTCCTCATGTGCGAGGCAGACGCTTCCAAGATGTTGCTACTTCAAACCAATCAAGATGCAACTAATTGTGGAAGCTTTATTTTACTATTCATTACCCTAAATACATGCAATTTCTCTGCTTGAATTGCCATTGTTTTTAGATTGTTCCTAAATTCTATATTGTTTGTAGGTCATTCTTTCCAATGGCTTTTGGATTTCTTGCTGCAGCCTTGAACATTCCTTTTTTAACTACGGTATGGAACAATAGCTGTTTTGCGATGCTTGGATCAAAACTTCAATTAATCTAGCAACCAATTAACTTTAAGTGCAACCAAATTAAATTTTTTTAAATTATTTTTTAATATATAACTCTGCAATTAAACATTCAGTGAGCAGCTAAAAAAATCTCTGTTGTTTATATTCTCTCTCTCTCTCTCTCTCTCTCTCAGATTTTAAACAAGTTATCTGGGAATAGTTCCTCAATGGTGTAAGAGCAGATGCTGGAAACCTGGAGGTGCTTCTGCAGTGAACTGTTCAAAAAAAATTTATTTTTATTTTATTTTATTATTACCTTTATAATATGTTGAATAAACTCACCATAACATGCCCAGTGTTCTAGTCAAGAATGTTATTTTTGAGTTTATTTTAAATATATCTCTTTTTTTTATTATATTAAAAAAAAGGATTTGAAGTGTGCACGATGTGCGTAAGTTTGCACTTTTGTCGATTTCCCTCTCGAGATGAACACAAGCAAAAATGAAATGTCCAGTAATCTTTAAAATCTTGTTGATGTGCTCTCAGCCCGTCAACTTATGAAAACATATTTTAGAGCAGTGCTTTTCCAATCATCTCATTTCTATTTCATCTCTCTGCTCCCTCCAACTTCAATGAACTACCCCCTCAAATAGAAAATATTGAGTTCAAATATATAAAGGCTTTGTGGTTGCGGAATGTTCCTGTGAAAGGGATGGGTGGTGGACCCACCCCGGGGCAAAAAGACAAGATCAGAGGGAAAGAGGGAAGGGTTGTGGAGGTCTGCGATTCACTGAGGAGGCTATGATGCAGGTAATATTGTTGTATGAGAAAGATAAATTATGTTTGAAGGTTGTATGAACCAAACACAACCTCCATACCAGCCAGTGTAAAGGTAAGCCATTTACTCCAATTATCATGTTTAGTTGCATAATTGTCAGTCTATGTATATATATATATATATATATATATATATATATGCATTCTATGTGATGGTCATTAGGGTTTGGAGGGATTGAATAATATACAGTATTTACATTTGTCAGATAATTTATCAAAGCGGTTTGCAGTGCATTGACGTGTTTTGTTTTAATATGCATATTAACATTTTGTTTTTGGATAGGTGGTTTGGTTAGCCAAGTAAAAACCAAGAGGGTCTGAATCTGCTCTTAAGTCCTTTTCATAGAGCTTTTTTTTCTCATGCAATAGATCATTTCAGCAGCCTTTTTTAATTGTTCTAATTGACCTTTTATGTTGCTATATAATTATTGTTTGTTAGATAGATCAGTAGCATTTTGGTTACAAATTTATATTAATTTTTTTAATAAAATGTTTGTATTATATACATTTACTATAAATGTATATATATTTTTTATAATACAATAATTATATTATAAAATATTTATATTAGAATTTTATTGTGTTATATTATTATTTATTTTTATATTTCATTTTTTACATCAGTGAACAGCATTGCATAGGAGCAGATGTGAAAGGCTGATTTCTGATGCTTTTGATCACTTAAATGCTCTTTGAAGTGTGTGTATCTCGCTCTCGTGTGTGTGTTAGGGTTGGTAAGTATGTGTCTGATCTTATGAATATCTATATATATATCTATATATATATTTATAAATGTCATTAAAATGTGATCTCATAAATAAATCCTCTAAAAAGTACCCATTATGATTCAGAAAATAACCATGTGTGTTGGTTTCTAATTGCATTGCTTTCTTGTAGAAACTAATTTTGGTTCCAAACGCATTAAAAATGATGCTACTTACCATCATTTTGATGTTGTCAGTGGCAAATGGCGATACATACCCTTCAGGGCATTTTCAGTATTATTTAGAAGGTAAGTTCAGTGTTGTCTTTGTTAATTGGCAATAACTTCTAATAAAGCATCAATATAGTTAATATCAAACAGTTACTAAATAATAGCCTCAATGCAACTAAATACAATGTAACTTAAAAATAGATATCTAAAATTCTGGATGCATTAAGTTTAATGGAAAAATACTCTTCATAATGTTGATTAAAAAGTGACATTATAAGATGTATTATAAGCCTGTATTGGACATGAGATGAAATGCAGTAACTATAAAGCATAGTTTCACTTGTAGGCCTTGATCTCATAAGCTGTGTCTCTCAAGCTTTTGTTGTATTTCTAGATGAAACTCCTGAAGAAACATCACTCCAGGTTCTCAGGGGAACTGATTCTCGTCCCACAGCTGGATCTCCTTCTCCCAAGCTCTCAGTGCACTTCTCCATGAGTGCAGGTCCTCAGCGAAACACACAATGGTGGTCTCCAGAAAGGCCTTATTCAAAAAGGAGGCAGAATGTTGCGTACTACAATCTCAATTCCTTCGGCCTCCGCTATGGAAAGAGAGAACAGAACATGCTTGCATGGTTTAAACAGAAGATTCCTATAAAGTGAGGTCCCCTGGGCCTTTTTAAATCTTGTATATTGTTCTTTGAGGTTTTATATTAATTAGAAATGATCTGTAGATCGATCTGTAGACATGACATTAGTGGAATAGTTCACAGACTTTAGTAAATTGTCGTAATGATAACTGTGAGGACACATTTTGCTACAGTAATTAATACAAATGTTTTGGAAAACAACCTGAATAAAAGGACTTTATTAGATAATATGACTGGATCAGAGCCTCTTTTTTGTGGCTGATGACAAATGTTGTTTGAAAAAATCTTGTTCTCAGGCTTATCGACCTTTATAATTACAAGTAAACTGTGATAATGCTGGCTCATCAAGAAAATTTTGAAATTATTAAA